GAGTTTGTCATTTCCATCGTTTTTAGGTATGTCTCTGTTTTGTGTTGATCCATTTTTCCCTTCTGTTTCTTCTTTCAGACTTGTTTAGATCTTGGGTATGTATTCTTCCCCTGACTTTGTTTTTATTGGCAAAAATAGTTCATGGGTTGCTGTTGTAATTCTGTTGAAGAAAGCTAGCGATTGAGAGTTTTTGATGTCGTCGCTGTCGATGGTTGTGATCTTCAGAGCTTGCTGCTATGGCGGACACCAGAGCTGATTTCTCGATTCTCGGATGATCGATCATTTTACTGGCGAAGCGAATCTTCTATTCTTCCTTCTCCATGAGAATCCTGATCGTGATTTCTGGAACTTCATTATCCAATTATTTTGCGCACACCAACTGTTCAATAAAGGGCTTGACTGGTTCCACCGTTGTCACCCGCAAACGGAGCGATTGCGATTTCTTGCGGTTGATAGCAGTTGATAAACTGATTGGTAAAACCGCAATAAAACGTAACTGCAACCAAACTTCAAAAATCAAAACGCTGGTGGTGACCTGCGATTTGGTGGCGTTTCACTGCATTTACATAAAAATACTAAAGTACCCTTAGTAAAAATAAAATGAAACCCTAACTCTCTCTTTCTTTCTATCATTCTCTCTCGTCGTCTCGACCTTGTCTTTTGTGTATTACAGTTTCTCTTTCTTCCTCAGATCGTCGGAGTTCGTCAGCAACTGTAAATTGAATAAATATTAAGTTATTAAAAAAATTAATTACAATAAATCTTTTAAAAATTTTATAAAAAACCATGTCTATTTTGGTAATTGAATAAATATTAAGATATTAAAAAAAATTAATTACAATAAATCTTTTAAAAATTATATAAAAAACTGTCTATTTTAGTAATTTACATCAAACTGTAACAGCAACTGTAAACAAACCATTTACTTCTATCCGCTACCAACCGCAATCGCTACAAACAACAATTTATCAACCATTCAGTACCAATCGCCCACAACTGCTAGCAACCATTCTGAAAACGTCATCACCCGCAAACGCAATCGTATCGATACAACCAGTCGACTACTCAACTCTTTCGAACTTGATTTTTGGAACTGTAAATAATTTTATACTTTATTGTTATTAAATTGATTTCTTTAACAATTAAATTGTATCTTATTGTTATTTTAAATCTATTGTGTAATTTTGATTTGTCGTATTTAATTTGTTTTAAAAATATAACGTGACTAAGGGGGCGACTGGTTGCACCGCCGCCACCCGCAAACGGAGCGGTTGCGATTTTCGGCGGTTACGGACGATTGAAAAACTGACTGGTTGAACCGCAACCAACCGCAACCGCAACCAAACTGGTGTTTTCTAATCGCAGCTTTCAACTTGCGTTTTGGTAGCGGTTTCCGGCGTTTTGACAAAAAAAACTAAAATATTTTTATTAGAAATTGTATAAAACATTAATATATATATTGGTGATGATTTTGTTTAGTGTTATGATTTGATATTATTTTTTAGTATTATATTTTAATAAAAAAATACAATAGTATAATTTTTAGGTTTAATAATAATTATTTTTAATAATTTTTATAATAAGATTATTTTTTACTTAAAAATAAATTAAATTGATAATATTTATATTTTAAATTTATTATTTAATTATTATAAATTTAGTAAATAATTTTTATCAAATGATACGAAAAATTTAATTAAAACTATTATAAAAAATTATTTTTAAAAAATATTTTTTTTGACAATTTATATCAAAATGCAACCGCAACCGTAATGAATTATTCACTTCTAACTGCATCCACCCGTAATCGCTACCAACAGAAACTTCTCAACCAGTCAGTACTAATAATTTATAATCGCTATCAAACGTTCTGAAAACGCTGCCACCCGCAACTGCAACCGCTGCGGTATAACCAGTCGAACCCTAAAAAAGAAAAATTTTCAAAAGTTGAATGAAGATTGAATGCTGAGTTTTTTCTAAGTTTATGATATAGGATGTGATCGGTTAATATTTTCATTTGAACTGTTTAATTGTATTAAAATATTATTATTTGAGTTTATTTTTTATATTATGGTTTAGTAAAATAAATGTATGATAGCATCGCATGTTTATATAAGTTTTAGATTTAGTAACACTTATTTTTAATAATAAAATTATTTTTATTTAAAAAATTAAATTGGTAATATAAAATTTATATTTCATTATTTTATAAATTGAATAAATATTAAGATATTAAAAAAATTAATTACAATAAATCTTTTAAACATTATATAAAAAACCATGTGTATTTTGGTAATTTACATCAAACTGTAACAACAACTGTAAACAATCATTCACTTCTATCCACTACCAACCGCAATTGCTACAAACAACAATTTATCAACCATTCAGTATCAATTGCCCACAACTGCTAGCAACCGATCTGAAAATGTCATCACCCGCAAACGCAATCGTAATGATACAACCAGTCGACCCCAAAATGTCTTACTCAACTCTTTCGAACTTGATTTCCGGAACTGTAAATAATTTTATACTGTATTGTTATAAATTGATTTCTTTAAAAATTAAATTGTATCTTATTGTTATTTTAAATCTATTGTGTAATTTTGATTTGTCGTATTTAATTTTTTTTAAATATAGTGTGACTAAAAGAGAGAGATTTTCAAAAGTTGAATGAAGATTGAATGCTGAATTTTTTCTAAGTTTATGATATAGAATGTGATCGGTTAATATTTTCATTTGAATTGTTTAATTGTATTAAAATATTATTATTTGAGTTTATATTTTATATTATGGTTTAGTAGAATAAATGTATGATCGCATCGCATGTTTATATAAGTTTTAGATTTAGTAACAATTATTTTTAATAATAAAATTATTTTTATTTAAAAAATTAAATTAATAATATATAATTTATATTTCATTATTTATAAATTGAATAAATATTAAGATATTAAAAAAATTAATTACAATAAATCATATCTATTTTGGTAATTTACATCAAACTGTAACAATAACTGTAAACAACCATTCACTTCTATCCGCTACCAACCGCAATCGCTACAAACAACAATTTGGGGGTGACTAGTTGCACCGCCGTTATCCGCAAACGGAGCGATTACGATTTTCGGCGGTTGTAGGCGATTGAAAAACTGATTGGTTGAACCGCAACCACCCGCAACCGCAGCCAAATTTGTGTTTTTTAATCGCAGCATCTAACTTGTATTTTGGTAGGGGTTTCCAGCGTTTTGACAAAAAAACTAAAATATTCTCATTACAAATTATATAAAACTCTAATATATATATATATATATATTTATGATAATTTTGTTTAGTGTTATGATTTGATATTATTTTTTAGTATTATATTTTAATAAAAAAAATATAATAGTATACT